TTTTGTCGAGCACAAAATTTATTGCAAATAAAGTATTGGCATGACTTGCTGAAAAGGTTAAAAAAAAAAATATTAGTTTTAGCAATAATTTAAAAAACTAATTCTTTTTAACTTATACTAAACTAGATACAATTTGAATTACTTTACTAATAATATCTATTAAAACTCAAATTCATATATATACAGATAGCAAAACAGTAATAGAAACTATAGAAAAGTACTAAACTTAGAAGTTAGTTTAAACCAAAAAATAAAAACATATTAAACAAATTATAAACTATTATAAAACCAAAAATCTAGATTTAAGACTTTATAAAATTAAAAGACAAAATGGTGATACATAGAATTAAAAGAAGAATAAACATAATCAGTATACTTAATGTACCTGAAACAACTTTTAAGGATTTTATGTTTGTACTTAAATGAAAAGATCAAATTATAGATAGCTCACTTAAATCTTTCGTGAATGAGTAAGAGTAATTATAGTCTATATAGACTATAATTACCCCCACTTAGAGTGGATTATAACCATCCCATATTATAAATAGACTATAACTACTTCGAGAATGACGACGGAATCAAATTTTATTGTCATACTTCGGGTTATTTGTAGTCCTAGATCGGGTGATGTGTGGATCGCGATTATTACATCACTTGCGAGCTACTGAGTATGAGCCAGTGCGACGTATGTTTTGCATTTTAGGCCACGCAATAAGGTGGCCAAGTTTTGTTATCAGACCACATATGACATAATATATGCCGGTTTGGTGATTGTGGTTGATTTCCGTCGTTGGGTCATATGATGTCGTCATTTGTGGGCCCGATGTTATCACTTTCATAACCGGGAAGTTGTTTATATGTGACTGTCGTGTGGATCACATTTAGTACATCACTCAAATGACCGGTTTTTATCGTCAGCCACATGCGACATATTGAATGCTGGTGTGCGGATGTGTTGGCTTTATCATAAGATTGATAGGCCGAATGTGTTTTATACATCACTCGAGTGACGACCAGTTCACAAATTTGTTATCATATTTTATATGGTGCGGATACCATGACCTAGAGCAGATTGGCCTCATCGTGAGTTTGACAAGCCGATTGCATTTTGCGATATCTGGTACGCTATATACGCTATCAAGTATGCTATATAGCATGTTATCGATTAATGCTATCAAATCGTATCACCGATCAGATCATATACTCGAATGATGTATATCAGACCACATATATACCGGAACGTTCGTCAGGCCACTATACGTGTTCGGTATAATTTTCCATTTAGATCTTTGTAATCTAGTGATTGCATTGTTCTTCTATTTATAAAGGTTCATTTTTGCAAATACTGTATGTACCTTTTTACCTTACATTTTAACAATGATTTTCTTCATTATATTTTTTATACTTGGAGTGTCTGCCTTCGCAGTAAATAACACTTCAATATTACTAGAAAAACGTGAAGTCTGTGCAAATCCAGGATGTCATGGATTGATTTTTAAGGATTGCTCATATAGAGAGCTTTACACGTGAGATCTCAATTTCTTGGTTGAAGGAACGATTCGACATAGTATTAAAATACAGTATAATCCAAGATATGTTGTTTTTCTTTTTTAGAAAAATCAATGCTATTGATGCATCTGATCATAAAGCACTTAGTGATGCCCTCGCTAGTATGTTTGCACCGGACATAGATAACAAAGTTACTTCAGAAAATCAAGATAATGAACTTACACAGGCATGGTAAAGAATGGGAAAAATGCTCATTATTTTTTGAAAGTTTTTTTCAAACATTTTCTCATTTATACAGGTATTCTGCAAACTCCGCAATTTTCAAAAGTAATTCCCAATGCGTTAAAGAATTTATGTTGACTTGGATATGTGAAAAATACATTCAAAAATCTTCGCTTGATAGTTTAAATGAGTTGCTTAATAAACTTCCTAGTATTTTTGCGAAAGCATTACCTGGTGGTTCTACTGGTTCTATTACAGCATGGGTGGTTAAGCAGGCACTTAAACAGGCAATGAAAAAAGATGTTTCGATTACCCAAAAATTGATTAATTCGGCAGCAAATATTGTAGAAATGGGTGATGTTACTTTTCTTTATAATGTTGGCAACTGTTAAAGATCTTTCTAAATTGTATAACTATTATACGTATTTTTATAATCTCGTATTGCATTTGAAGTTGCTCTTAATACAAGTATGGGTCCATTAAGATTTGTATTTCACATCTTATATCATTTTCTCAAAAGTTAAACTCGCTTCATCCAAATATTTCTTTCTAGTAAGTTTCATTGTTTTATCGAAAACTTTACTAAATACAGATACTATTGTTTGCAAACTCGGTTTATGTTTATAGATATAAATATTTTTAGAATTTTTTACTGGTAGCATTGTATGCTGTCTGATACACGCTATGTATGTGTTATTGAGTAAATGCTATCGGGTAAATATTGTGTATCTCTATCAATATATGCTTCATATATGTTATTGAGAACTCCGATTTGCTTGTGTTTGGAGGCATATTGTAGTAAAGTATATTGACTACTTTGTCCCCAGTCGACTCTAGTAGCAAAACATATGTTTACTTACCTCGTTGCAATGAATATGCTAAAATTTTTGTCACAAGTTGTCACTAGATGTCACTAGTTGTTTGACAGAACTTGTGACGCCTGTTTGAAGGTTTTGAATCTTTTTTTTCTTTCTTGATTAGATTCATATACAGTATCTATCACAAGTTACTTAAGTAAAATAGTAAATTCTAAGGGAAAAATTAAAACTTTTTTACCCATGATACCTATATCCTATATATATATACGTAATATACATACCCTTGATGTAAGCTAGTATGAAGTGTTAATATATACAATATATGCGGTATATCCACCTTTGATATATAATATATACACACAGGAAAAAAATAAAAAAAGCTACGATCGAAAAAATTAACCCAAGTAACTTGACATTTGACACTCGCCGAGAACAGATGGGTTAAGTGCTGGGAAAAGTGCCGAAAATGACAATTTTTTCAATTAAGATACAAAAGTAGTTGTATTAATGAAATTTTGCTGTATAGCTCTTTAAAGTTTGCATTTTCTTATGATTTATTATAAGATTTATAATAAAATTGATCCTTTTTTTTTTGTCATTTTCGGCCCTTTTCCCAGCACCTAGCCCAGATCATTTTGGGCTCAAAACTCAATTTCTACTAATTTTTTTACTTATGACGAACTTA